ACAACGATCCTCCTGCCTCAGCCTCCCGGGTACTGGGATTACAGGTGTGCACCACCAGGCCCAGCTGGAAGTTTCTTTTTCCCATTAATAATTAAGAGTAAAAGCAATAGCCTTTATTATTTAAGTAGATTATTAATAAATGCTTCTGTCCTGACATAACAGTTTTAAATATCCATTTTATTGAAGTTACATTCCGCATATCTAGATTTTTGTCTCATAGAGGCCTTATTAAGGAGATGCACAAGGAGATTTAAACTAAGTATGCCTGACCAGAAATGGTTAAAGTCCACTTTCTATGTGATTGCCTTCATTTCTAAAAATGCTGGTGATGAGGATATAAATCACTGTAGAGCCCGTGGTCACCTCCCCTGAAAAGCAGGCTCCTGCTCCTCCCCTGCCCATCCTTGAGTTATAGAATGACGTGCTTCCTTCTCACTGCTCCCTTTGCACTCCTCACTCACTTTGTTACAGCACTTACAACCCCGCATGATAATCGTGGATTTGCATGTCTATCATGCCTACTAAATTGCACGTTCCTTGAGAGCTTGACTAAGTCCTCATCATATTTATAATTCTGGGATGAGCAGAGCAGACACTCAATGAGTAATGAATGCTTCAAAAGGCATTCCTACTTCACTCTAGGAATTGTCAACATGGAAAATTGCCGTGTTCTCAAGGAAAGCTAAGATTCTCTTCTAGCTTTCATGGCAGTTAAAGCAATCAGTTCCACCCTTACCCAGCACTGCTGCAATTTCTCTCTTCCATTCAAACCCAGTTCTCCAGTTTCTTACATTGCTAGGGATAGGGATGAGCTTTTAGTCAAAATGTTGGGAGTGAAGGGAAGGCCTATTAGCACCCGCCTTAGTCTCAAGACAAAAATGAGTGAGAGAAGGATAAGAGATTGAATAGTTTATGCTGTCATACATTTAGGCTCTTCATCCTAAAACTATTAGAAGAAAAATACCCTTCAACTTTGGGTGCTGCCTTCATGTCTTGCACTTGTAACCCTGTGGTATTGAATAACATTACAGAGGGCTGCTTTCTAGTACTCTCTGGAGCTTTGCACACTTTATAGTGTACAAAGTGTACAAAAATATACTGCATAGTATACAAAAAATATAGTACACTTTATTGACACTCCATCTTGTAGTCAATCTCACAGCCCAGGTTCTCTCAGCAAGCAGAACAGCACATCACAGAGTCTAAATGGAATCAGAAGAGGATGGAAAGAAAGAATAATTAGGAGATAATTAATGGTTCACTCCATCAGTGGTATTTCTCTGATTGTTTGTGTTTGTTTAAGTGGCAGATAATCAGGCCTGCAAAATTTAGGAACTGAAAAGCCAGTCATTTAAAGCATTATTTAGCAAGCTGGATAAGCATATTAACTGTGTGTAGCCACTTCTTTAAAATAAAATCATATTGTATGATTTTTAGTGGTAACTTTATAGAATTTGATGTTGTACATTTACTGTTACTTTGAGGGAAGTTGATTTTACTTTTTAATTGCCTTTGATCACTCAATGGCAGAAGGGTACTTTCTAAATTAGTGGACAATAACATAGCATGTCAAGACCTAATGTTGGCATTCATTACAGATATCATAAAAAGATAACTTTTTAGAAGAATAAGGTGAATACAAATTACACATAAAATTACTTGCTCTCTCTGTCTAAAATTTCCGTTAGCAGATTCTAAGAACTGTCCAATGTGAGCATCTTGTTGAATGCTTTCTGAATTTAAGAATAGTTTGGCTAAGCTCAAGGAATTATTTTCCATCTACAAGTAATATCAGGGCATATTAGGCTGCTCAGTATTGACACCTGAAAATCCTGCTTGTTCTACCTTCAAAAGATATCCAGAATCCAATCACTTGCACCACCTCCATGGTTAGAAAACCACTCCCCCGACTTCTCCCATTCTCCTCTTTCCATCTTATTCTCCAAATAGCAGCCATCATGTCACCCCTCAATTTAAATGCCCCCAAAACTTTCTCTTTCACTTAGAGTGGGAGCCAAGTCCTTTGAGAGGCCCACTACCCTCCTCATACCACACTGTCACCTGCTGTCCACACATCCAATCCAACCCTCCAGTCACATTGGCTTTCTAGTTAGCCCTGAAAATATCAGGCATAGCTGCTTCTCTGGCCTTTCTACCATCTGACCCCGGGGTAATCCAAGGGCTCACTCCCTCATGGTGTTCATTTCTTTGCCTATACTTCACTTTCTCAGTGAGACCTTTTCTTCAGTCCTCTTGCAAATCTTATCTACAGACCAGCTTTCCACATCACCTTTCCTGTGGTTATTTTTCTCCATAAGTAACTATCACCTAAAACACCCTAAAATGTACTCATTGTTTTCTTCAATGGACATTCCATGAGCTCAGAAGTTTAAGTTAATTTCTACACTGCTAGGTCCCCAGTAGTTAGAACACTGCCTGACACATAGTTAGCAATAAATATTTGTGCAGTGTGTGACTCTGTAGTCAAAACTACCAAGCTTTTCCTATGTATGCAGCCGACTAACTAATAAGATAAGGCATAGTTATCAGGGAAGATTTTACATAGAGGCTTACATTTAAATATATTTCAGAAACTACTTGAGCCTGCCTTTTTGTGCTCATATCAAAGCTCTATGGAAAAAATATAGTTATTGATATGTGAAATAAAACCAATTACACGGTGTTTGAATGAACAAAATATTCCTTTTGGTGCACCATCTTCCGTGGCCTGTGTGTGTTGAAAGTGAGGGTGCTAAAAGTAGATAAGGTGAGGGGGTGACACAAGTAGGGAGGGGGAGATATACAGATCCGAAACCACATCTAAAATTTTCATCAGACCTTAAAATCTTCCAGTTTTCTATCTTTACTTAAAATTATGCCCCAAATCCAAAATTGAGAAGACTACCATAATGTTAAATTATACAATTATCCTGGGGTATATGAAGTTACTGAACTAGCACACATGTATTAAATCTTTGAAATATAAATTAATAGTTTAAATTAAACGTGAGTCAAAGTAGGTGCAGCTCGTTTTAAGAATTATAATATGGGAAGTAAACGCACTGTTGTATGGGAATACACAACTTATCTGTCACCGATAGCTAGCAAATTCCTTCCCATTAAAAACTAATTGAAAATCTTCAGTGATATTTAAGCTTTCACACAAGTGTAAACTACTGTGACTACAATTCACAATGCATTTAAAACAATTATTCTTTATCATTAAAGTTAATAATATGCACATTAACCTCTTATGTAGTCTAAATCAATATTGTAGTTTAAAAGATATGACCTCTGGACAGCTTTGTCTAAATATTGATTTCATTGTCATTTGTATAAGGTATCAAACAAATTACATGCTGCACTAATATCATTCATGCTGGCCCCATAGAGCCTCTGACTTTGTAGGTTCTTACAATACAAGACAGGACATTACAAAAATATTGACAATATTAGAAAACCTAATTGTCAAATGAATGAGATTTGACTATGGCAGGGCACAGTAGCTGTAAATAAATGACAACTTCTGAATCCTTTACTCTCAGTGAACAGAAAAAAATATCGCTCTTTAACATGCAGATTGGTCCTTGATGTTAAATTTCAAATGGCAGAATTTTTTCTGCTTGAGAAGTTCTAATACACCTTCTTGTGATTCTGTAGATATCCAGAAAGAAACTAACTCAACCTTAGATTAAAATGTTACAGTTCTACAATATAGCAGTTTTCTCAAAATAAATTTGCTTAGAAATTCGCCTTACAAGTTATGCACTAATGAATCTTTTGAGTTGAAAAATATATGCATAAGATTAAAAGCACTGAACACTTCAAATGGGTACTACAGAATGAAATAAAAACTGACTTATAGATGGACAGGCACATTCTCACGCATAACTGACAGTATAGAATTATTTCTGTTAAAAATGCAAATTGAAATCCTACTATATAATTTGGTCTCTTCCACTTTATTTTCAGGTTTTACACTGTTATCGATCATAATGCCTGTTAACATCATCTGCTTCCATCTAACTCTATTTTGATGATTTTTTTTTAAACTTCCAATTTTACCTTCACTTTTTAGTTACCATAAAACTTTTTGGAAAAGAGTTAGTGTCATGCTCCTGACACTGTGAAAGTGGTCACTTTTGATAATGAAGATGCTCACCCCCATCTCTTGTAGGTAAAAGTGACCCATTTTGTGTAGTAGAACTGAACAATGATAGGCTACTAACTCACACCGTCTACAAAAATCTCAATCCGGAGTGGAACAAAGTCTTCACCTTGTAAGTAGCCGTTACTTTGAGCTCATTTCAGAACTGGTGTAAAATTGTATTTTTTTTTTTTTTGAGGTTCTGTGTGTAAGTGTGTGTGTGTGTGTGTGTAAGTGTGTGTGTGTGTGTGTGTGTGTGCATTTTTCACTGATTCACAGCTCAGTACTCCAAGCCAGCCTTTCCTGACAATCTTGAGTTCCAGAACTTCCTACCTTTCTGAGTGAAATCCGGGGAAAGGAGTATGCCACTTGTTTTTTTTGTTTTGTTTTGTTTTCATAGACTTTTTTAAAAACTGTGCTTTTTGTGTGATTTGACTAAGGGTTTTGCTCTCATCAATTGAATTGCTATACTGCCTCTTCCTTTTATACTTTCTATTGAAATTCTTCCCAACTGCACTGACACCAAGGAGGACAAAGCTCTATTTGTTCTATTGCTGAAATCAGCAAACAATCTGGTCACGAATTCGGCAGATGCTTTAGTTTTGGTTTGATTCATTTTAGCACAATAAGAATATTAAGTATTGTCCTAGATACCAAAACACGCTTTGAGTTCATTTTCCTTTTGTTTTAATAAGTTTGTAAATCTTTTTAATCATGCACTGTAAAAGCTGCCGATGCTACACTATAGTATCTCCTAAGTTCGTTTTTTTCTCTTTAAAAAAAAAAAAAAAAAAACTGGGCTTTAGAAATGAACTCTAAACAAAGGAAACTCTCTAAACAAAAGTACTGCTCAAAAGTTTTCTAACATAGTTTTATTTTTTGTACATGAAAATCTGCTAAATTCCTCATTAATTCCTTCTAATGTCTCTGCTTAAGAGCCAGTAACTAATCAGCTTTAATTATGGGACCAATTTATTTTTAAGGAATTCCACATTTTCATAAAAGATGAAAGCTTGGTCAGGAGACTTGCACTCCTAAGAAGGTTGTGGAGAGTGTTTTTCTCTTGCATGCATAATTGAATGAATAGGTTTGATTATTATCAAAGCCATTAATTGATTGTACCCTGATAAAGCCCCTTCTTATATGTGGTTGTGATTTTTCAGTAATGAATATATTCTCTCTTTTTTTGTTTTCTCTTAATTCATGTTTTCTTGGTAAACAGTTTGATCAAAGAATAAATGCTGTCACCAATTTGCACTCACTTTTCCAGAAACAAAAATATGAAGAGCTCTCCCAGTTGTTTGTTAGCATATGTTGTCTTTGGAACACAAGAGAACATGACTTAATTTCTAAATTCTGGGGTGGTACAATAGCTATAAATGTTACATTTTCTCCATTCTATTTTCTGTGTTTGTTCATTTTTATTATAAGCATAGTATTTTGGGGAGAGCTACAAACAAAAAGGAGATGTCCTGTTATTATAAAAAATAATTGCTGTAAAACTATACAGTGACTCTTGCTAATATCAAAGTTGGTAGTATTTTATGTGGCTATTATTGGAAGATATGGTTTATTGTTATAATAAGGATAAAAGTCTAGAACATGACACAGCCACCTATTTTATTTTTTCAATAACTTATTCTTTGCCTATTAAGATGGAAAATTATATTTCATTAAAAAGTTATAATTTAAAAACTTGCAATTATCTTCCAAGTTCCAAATAATAGGAGCATCACCGTAGTCAACTAGAGTGAATTATGGGAAATTCTATCAGATACTAGGCCCCCGTGTGTATTGTGTATGCAAATAACACACATGAACACACACAAACACGCACAATCAGCTGCAGCTATCTAAATTTTCAAAACCATTCTAGATCTTGCTTCCCACTGATGAAATCTTTTTTCTTCTTACATGTATTTATTATGCAGCAACATTAAAGATATCCATTCAGTTCTTGAAGTGACAGTTTACGATGAAGATCGGGATCGAAGTGCTGACTTTCTGGGCAAAGTTGCTATCCCATTGCTATCTGTAAGTTTTATTCACCTGACACACTGTTCTGTGTTGCTTCTGCTCAAGGAAAGGAAAAAAAAAAACCTTAGCTCTATGTCTGTCATTTCTCAAGCAAGGTCTGTAATAAGAACACTAAAAATTTTAACATACTCAATTCACGGCCATGTTGAATCCCATGATAGTTAATTTTTCCTGACAGACTTGATCCTGGTAATGAACAGGTACTTGTCAGAATTGCCACAGTTGTTTTGGGTTCTCTGTCAGTTTCAGCAGCTGGGGGTCAAAGGTCACCGAGGGAGTGTATTCAGTGGAGACCGCGAGACAGACGGCTGTCATGTCCTTTTCCCGCAGATTCAAAATGGTGAACAGAAAGCCTACGTCTTGAAAAACAAGCAGCTGACAGGGCCAACAAAGGGGGTCATCTATCTTGAAATAGATGTGATTTTTAATGCTGTAAGTCTTAACTTTGGCTTTTTTGTACTGCTAAAGAGTTCAGTTTCATGAAAGCTTTTGTTCCTGATTTGTAGAGAATTTCTGTCATTCCTCATTTTCTCTAAACCTTGATGTATCCTGGAGAATTTGCTTCTGCCATGCCTGGCACACCCACAATTTCTGTTAGAGTTGGCGACTGCTGCCGGAGCTCAGCTCTGGCCGCTCCTGCCTGCCTAGGAAAGGGAGCAGCGCTCGGGTGCAACTGTATACATTGCTATTTTGTGAGCAAGGCAGGCAGGACTTCAAAACTTTAAGTAATTATTGCAAATTGAATGGCGTGAAAAACTTGTAAACGTTTGTGATATATTAATCCATAACAGACACATGTGTTGATGCATAGGTGAAAGCCAGCTTACGAACGTTAATACCCAAAGAGCTGAAGTACATTGAAGAGGAAAACAGACTCTCTAAACAGGTAAAAAGCAAGGAAAGATTCATCCCTCTGGGAAGACCTGATTATATCTGTAAAACATCTAAGTAAATTCAAATAAATTTGGAGATATGAAGGGGGGAAGAGGATAGAATTTTTGGTCATCTGCTTGTGGAGAATGGTTCTTTTCCCCCTTTCTTTCCTTTTCTCTCTTCTTTCCTTTCTTTAAAAGATCAAACAAGGACAATACCAAACTAATAAATCGACGGGGGTGGTCAGGAGGAAAAGGGGATACTGTAGGTGCTGCTCATGATGGATATGTTAGTCGTGCACTAGCAGAAGAATGATCATTTTGAACATAAAATACAGTTTGATTGCCATGGGGTGTGTAAATAAGGATGCCAAAAGCTGAGGCTCCAATCTGTGTGCAGACCACCCACAGGTATGATGCAGGTGTGTGTAAAGTGAGCCCCGAATAAAGCTCTTCCCTCTAATCCAGGGAGAGGGGGCTCCATTTTTGCAGGGAAGCCTTCCTGTTAATTAGATTTTAACCATGATCTTGCAGGAATGAACTTTCATTGGCATTGTTAGCTAAGAAAACAGAAAATCTAGAAATCTGACTTTTCTATCATGAAGGATTTCTAATTAACTTCATAGAAATCAATTATAATTTCAACTTTGGCTTGATATCAAGTGAGGTAAAATGCTAAGCTACCTCTTTTGGAAAATGCTTATATCTGATTAACAGGGCTAAAATAAAATATATTTATTATGGCTCTAAAGTTTACTGAACTTATTTTGCACCTGGAAATATTTGATAATTTTCTGCAGCATTAGAAACCTGAACACATTATTTCAGTCTAATAAATTCACCATAAACAGTGGGATCTTTGAATGCTTAAAGATAGTGTGTATATTACAAATGAAATATCTATCTTAATAGAAATGCAGACTATATGTCTCAATGATTATAGACAAAAATAATAAACATTGCTCTTAAAGGAAGATTATAGGGACCAGAATAAAATCAAATAGGGAAACACTTTACCTGAATGGAATTCGAATTTTAGAAACTTGTTCAAACTGGTGTATATACACATGCATCTATATTTACACACACATTTTTGACTATATGAGCTCTATAAACTTTACATGACTACTTCTTAAAATATCAGATCAACACTGAATATATTTGGAATAGCAAAATATTAATCTATACACATATGATTAGTCTATTACTATATCTGTATGTAATTTCTTAAACTATTATCTAGTGCATGAACTATTCTTACCAAGGAAGTCATGCTACACTTTTAAATTTAAGTTATATCAATTTTCATATACCTTGTAATGAAATATTTTTTGAAGCACTTAGTTACTATAAATATTTTCCTAGACATCAAAGTTATGAATAGTGAGAAAATATAGGTTGAATTTAATGTAGGGGGGATAGAGAGATATAGATAGATAGATAGATAGATAGATAGATAGACAGACAGATAGATAAAGATAGATGATATATAGCAAAGAAGGGAGAAATCCTACTAAAATGGCAAAAATATTTTGTTTTTTGTAACAAGCAATACTTGACAGGCTTTTCTCTAAGACCCTCAGTAAGAACATTCCAGGGTAATCAATTCACTTTGAACTACCTTGAAATATAAACCTTTATTGACTCTTAAAAGCAAAATAAGACTTAAGAACATTAAATTAATAGAAGTCCTTAGTATGCAAATAGCAAAAATATTTCAATCTCTTAGGAAAATTTTTTCTTGTGAATAAAGAAGTGCAAATCTCTATAACATTATCTAAAATGTATATATTTAGTTGAAAAATTGTTCTTATCAGTCCATTCTTTCTCCAGAAATACTTCTTTTTCTCTAACTTGTAAGTTAAATTGTTTGCTATGTTCTTATGACTTTATTAACTTTCTGAATCCATTGTAAATCACAATAAGCTTGAAAATTTTTGCAATATAGTTGATCATCTTTAGCAATGCAAATTCTAATAATATTCTCATTTTTCTTACAGCTGCTGCTGAGAAATTTTATCAGAATGAAACGTTGTGTCATGGTGCTTGTAAATGCTGCATACTACGTTAATAGTTGCTTTGATTGGGATTCACCCCCAAGGAGTCTCGCTGCTTTTATGGTATGATCATACTGTCTTACTTACATTGTTATTCATTAAATTCAGTAATCATAGCTACATGTTTCTGTGGCTATAGTAACAGTTATGTTGATGTGGCCATTTTAAAACTCCTATTTTAAGACTCGACTGGACAGATTTGCCGTGGGCAGGGACCTGATGGATTGTTCAAGGTCTGAGTCCAAGAATACATTCCCCGCCTCAGATTTCCGGAACGAGAGACATCTCAGCCAATGTATAATTTTCTCTGTGACAGTTAAAAAGTAAAATTTTGCATATTGCATAATTCTAAACGCCAATAGGCGAGCCAAGAAAAAAAAACTCAGTGTGAAAAATAATAATAGTGATAGTCTTAACCATGCTCAGTTTGATTTTATTCATTCTATAGTTTTGGACTTTTTATTCAACCTATGAACGTCATAGGCAGTAGAGTGCCAGATGGTAATACTTTAATAGGTGAATCAATTGGAAGTGGATGTGACCTGTTTAAGAGATATTTTATTATTTCTGAGACTGCCAGATTTTAAAAAGTCTTGAGAATTTCATCGATCCAAATAGTCCCCTAACAAGGTTCATCTTGTAGCCTTTCGCTTTGGTTGTTTAAAAAGTGCTGATGAGACCAACTGGCAGTCAGAAAATCCAGAAGATACTTTTCTCTATGTATTAGCTGGGATTTTTCTGCTGTCACATTATTTTTGCTTATTCGGGATTTTAGTTTAAAGTTTAAGTGGAGCTTTGAAAAATCTTTATTCTCATGTTTGTTAGAATAGAGGTACCTTATGCTTCCTTAGAGTTATTAGTTTTGCAAAATACAACTTTATCTTGGGGACTTCAAGAAGAGTCTTAATTGTGGTAACAAATCAACATTTTAGTATTACCATTTGAGGGAATGTATGCACATCTGTTTAGTACCCTGGGCTCTGTCCTCCTCTCAGACCTTGTATGGGACTTTCATTAATGTCTCAGCACATGAACAAAGAGTGTGTATGTCCCTTTGTGTTGTAAGTTACCAGAAAGTTAGGCCGCCTGCTTCCCATAGACATGTTGTTGTCTCCTTAAAGAAAGTGACTGTCATCATCTTGAAGTCTTAGAAAAAGAAATCTCCTTTTCTCAGTACTCTTTTAGAAGCTCTCTTACATAATAAACATATTAGGGTACTGTTGAACAAACTGTATTCTGATTTCTCACTAGCAGAGAGACACTTGGATGTTAATGAGAAAAAATGATACTGAGTTCCTCTGTATATTTTATATCATTATGTCCGGGTTTTGTGAGGCCTTGTCACAATAGAATTCTGCTGAAAAGGTCATATATGGCCATTTTTGAGTCACTCCTTCCAAAGTTGTTCCCCACAGCTGTTTAGGAAATTTGAAAACAGAGACATACAGATCATGATATTATTTGTTCAGGAACATTCATTTGGAATTCTTTGGCATTGCAGTGTGTAAGTCTTCATAAACTTCTGGCTTGTAAGTTTATATGAGGAGACTTGAGTAAAATGAATTCAAGATGGCAGCCCTTTTTCACAATTTCCTTGTTTCTAAAAAATAAAACAATAAAAAAATTACAAGTACTAGAATTCTGAGAACCTTACATACGTGTACCTGATACTGTTTGAGTGATTTCATGGGAAGGGAGACAAACTTCACCGGGGAAGGAATGGCTAATATCTCTCTCATCTGGCGGTCACTGTGTAATAGATTCGGTCCTACCGTAAGCAAGCTGAATGCAAGAGGCTCACACAAAGAGAACAGCACAATAAAAATAGGGAACGGGCCTGCAGACAGGGAGAGAGAACCAAGAAACCACCAAGGACAATGTGAACTCACATTAAGACTACTTTGGAGAAGAAACAACAATATTAACTATTTCATTGGCAAAAGAGAAGGGACTGCATTGCATTCTATTGGATTTGATTGAAACAAAATCAAACTATGTATTTAGGCCTGAACTGGAAGTCTCACAACAAGGGAGACCCTGACTTTTTCACCCTGGAGCTCTAACATCTCTGCAGAGGGTCCAGCATTAAGTTCCCAACATAAATGGCTACTAAGTCAAATGACTGATCAATGACTGATCAGTCAATCTGAAAATTTTTCTTACATGGAGAAATTGGTTCTTCAATAATGCCTGATAAATATTTACTCTAATAAAGCTCATTATTAAACTATGGTACATAGAGCTTAATATTTATGCAGCAATTTTCCCTAAAATTCCCATTTGAATTCTAAACTATTTTATAATCCTTTCTCAATCGTCTGTTTAAACTCAGATTAAATCTCAATGTGAAAAGTTCTTGTATAATAAGAAATAATATCTATTAAGTTCTTACTATTTGCCAAGGAACTGTTTTTCACCTACTAAAGTATGGAAAATGCTTTCACGCATTAATGAATTTAATCTTTCCAGCACCTTGTGAGGTAGACACTCTTATGTTTCCCAGTATTCAGAGGAAGCAATGGAGGCACAGCAGAATTAAGCAGTTTGTCCAGCACCACACAGTGGATAGTACTTCTTTCCTAAAAGAGTCTTAAACTGTATACCTTGTAATTTTAATTTCAGAAAAACAAGGGCGCTAGGATCTGTATTCATCTTGTAGATATTAAATGAGGTATTTAAAAATGAAAAATTTCAAAGATTCCCATTGCATAACTGGAGCCTTTTCGGGCCAGGGTACCGAAAAGAACTGCTTTCCATTAGGAGAAGGGTATGAGCAGCACCCCATTGTTATGAGCATATTGTTCCCACCATGCCCTGTTGATGGATCGTGGGTCTATTATTATAATATTGGTTCCACTTGGCCCACTTTTTCATAAAAGCAGCTGCCTCATGGAGCACATGCATTTGTACCATTATCCGGCTTGGTTTTAGGCCCAGATTCATCAACTTTATAATGTTTAAGTGTCCTTTTTTTTTCTATTCCATTTTCTTTTCCTTTTCTAATTCTCGCTCCAAAAATAAGCATGGAATAACGAAATCAAAATGGCAAAACAATCATTTTTGGGTCCCAGTGTCAATGAACTTGGGGAGCAGAAGAAAGGGGAACGGACGCTGGCTGCCACCTCCACGGCCCTACCTGCGTACAGTGGGAGGGCTCAGAGCCAGCTGGTGACAGTACAGGCTGACGTCGGCCTGGAACGGGGCAGGAAAAGATAAGCGAACACATTTCTGGGGATGGCTTGTTGCTCAGTACCATGAATTAGGTTTTTTTAGTGTTGCTATGAATATTGTCTGTCTAGGAGTGAGCACAGACATGTGTGATACAAAAAGCTCTGCTCATCTTTGGAAATCATCTATTGTAGACATGGAAATGTCTTGGAGATTGGGCCTAATTTCCGTCAGCCTCTTGACCAGACATTTGTGTTCCTGTGGATGTCAGTAGGTGCAAAATGGAAGGAAAAGAAAAAAAAAAAAAAGAGGAAAGAAAAAGAGTATACATTCTCTTCCTTTTCAGTACTGTCATTTCTCACTGTAATGAGCACAAAAATAATTGGACAACTGAGCTAGCAGCAAAAGGACACACTTCAGTGTGCGTCAAAAGAATTATTTTACAGGACAAACTTTAATCTTTAAATGTGATTGTAGATAATTTGTGGTACCATCTGTCCATTTGGAATTGTTTTAGCCTTTTCTGTCGTTATACAGTAAGTGCCGCTGTGTTTAACATTAACATTTGATATTTTACACATTTAATTTCTGTTCTGCTGTGTGGTCCTTGGGGAACAGAGCACTGGTGCTACATGAGAGAGACAAAGTATTGATCAGTTAACATTTCAGCTACATTTATGTATGTCGCAAAATTAATGAAAATGCCAGACAAAAATGTCAGAGTGCACCAAAAGGTAGAATTTAAATTTGGAAGTTTAATGAAAAGTCTTAAGATGTGCATTATCAAAAATGTCCCTTTGCCTGTGAAGTGTAATTCTTAGCAGGGTAACTAAAGGGAGACACATATTTTACTTAGAGGAACAATCAACATGAATTATGAAGCGATGTCAACTCCTCAAAGTACCTTGTGTTCCAAAACGGTGCGTCTGAATGCTTAACTGTTAGTCATACAGTATAGTTGTTTCTGTGCATTTCTGGAGGGCCACTGGCTCCAACCTTCTGTCCTGACCAGCTTCCTGTTGTAATTATTTCTCCAGGTTTGCCTTGGTGTCCAAGTGTGTGTGTGTGTGTGTGTGTGTGTGTGTGTGGAAACCAAGAATTCCCTCCACAGCAATTCACTGAGGCCATCCTGGTTCATTACTCGTTACTCTCTGGGTCCTTTTGAAATGTCTGGGTTTCCTTTGCTTCCAGATCATTTGTGTTCCACCTTCATTCAATTCCATTTTAGCAAAGGATCACACTTGGGACAACTACTATCCTCACAAAAGCTGGGCCATTATTCAGGAAAAGAGAAAAACGGGGATGATGCGTGCAAAGAATGACGTGAGGCAGCTCTGTGTAGCCAAATGATTTTTTTATTTTAAAAATGGAGGGAGCAACAGCAAAGAAGGAGGAATTGGACTTGCAGGAGCAATGGGAATATAATACAATGACCTGCAGACAACGGGCACTTCTGGGTATTTTATTGTATACTTCCTGTAGAGAAAGTCTGCTGATATTAAACAACTTAGGGAATTTTCTAATTTGAATTTATTATAAACCATAAGGTTGTTTTAAGTGGCTTTCATGATCAAGGACTAAAAGGGGAGCATTGCCTAGGAAGAAATACCAATGTGGAGCAAAAACATTTCTACATCACCTGCAATTCCTGAATAATGAAATGTGGGATGGTTATGCTGGATACCCTGAAGATAATTTTAAGTTTATAACAGAGATTTCTATTTGGAGAATTTAGCAGACAGCAGTAATACTACACGAGGAATGTTATGCTTCCAGTCTATAGCAATTTGAAAATTATTTTTACAGGCACTTTTTTTGTTGTTACAATTATTTCAATGGTAACAGAAAAACTGCTCCCGATGTAATTTTTGTTGCTTCCTCATGACAGCAAACAC